ATAAAGACGGAAAGTTTAAATAAATGTCATAATAATGGCCGATAATAGAAATGTCATCGGATAAAAGAGCGACATGTGATAGTGGTATGAGGAGGATAAGAGTGAAGAGAAGTCGACTGTACTTCATTGCATATGTCATAGTATATAATGTTGACAGTTTGATACAATACAAAGTATATACCTATATGTTTATTTTAGACAAACATACGTGCATCCTTTATTCCGTATGCTGGTCAGTCCACGAGTATGCGATGTTTTCAAAACATTGCCACTGTTTTATGTGATAACAACCATACGACAAAAAATCTAAACAATTATTTGCATTAATTAAAACTTTTTGAATAAAAAGTGTCGCCTACCTCTGTTATTCAAAGCTACTTGTGATTTCTCTGCATTTTAGCATTGTAAATGAAAAAGAAAAACGAAACAATTTCCATAAATATGACTAACGCAAACACAATCCGATCGCGTACTTCAATTGAAAATGTTATTATTCGATGCATGCTAAGCCGATTGTTGGTCATGACTGTATTATTCATTCACTACTAGCCGGATGGCGTGGAGTTGTGCGTGATGCGAAGGTATTTAAGAATTCAAAACTTTTCAGAAACTCAAGTTTTTATAACGGATATGGATCAGACACTGGAAAGTGGAAAAGTGCCGATGATTCAGCGTATCTGTCGTCTCAATATCTGTTGAAGCTTTATAGAAAAGTGAATCTACTTTGAGATGAGCAAATATTTAACTATCGGCTTCATAAAGCTCTAGTGGTCGTTGAATGCGCGATAAGTCTTCTAGCAAACACATACTTTATAAATCGCTTCACGATCGTTTGATCTGTAACAGATTTAGGGGGGGGAGGGCATGTTTAGATAAAAAGAAAAAAATTTAATAATGTCGAGTGTACTACTGAAAAAACGGAACTGAATAGAACAATATGTGCAAAAGTACGAGAAAATATACCAAATTTTACTAATCATATATCATTTTGCTCAGTATTGTCTCTACATATACTGCTTAGATCATCATATGAAAAAAGCATTTTTTCGTTAATATTTCTTTTACTTTTTTCGATAGAGAATGATCTAAATAATATATTTCTATCAGAATCTATCATTAAAAATCGGAAAACGAGAATGACCATTATTCGGTCTTACACGCTCCTATCCTTTACAATTTTATTTTTGACAGTCTAGAATACTAAGACAAAAATGAGAAGTCCGGCTCTGTTAAGTAGCAGCGCCAACTCTTGACTGCATCCTAAGTCCAATCAGAAAATTTCAACACTTAATATATTTTGTCCGGGTATTTTTGTCGCACCCTGTAAATTATGTAATGAATTATTTGAGTACTTGTCCTATTAGATACACGTGAACTACGTCTTAAATTTTGCTGTAAAGTTTTCAATACACGTTCTATAATAATTTTCTTATTCTTGTTTTTCTTTAGAGAAGGTAAATTAGAAGTTATTTAAATTAAGGCTTTAGAAGCGGCGTTTTCGTGTTCATTTAAATGTCTACTCGGTTTCCTTATACTTTTCACAATGCAATTACTTTCACAATTAATATTATAAACAGTTCCTGAAACTCGGTTCATATTTAATTTACCTTTATTAAGGCAGTAGCGTTTTATTATATGAAAAGTCTCAAAAATCACTCTTAATTTAGAATTAGGATTGGTTTTACTTACGATATTATTTTGCTGTCTTGCACTTGTATAGCTTGGTTTTCCGACGTATTACCGGCTTGTTGAAAATACGCGTTATTCGTTATTTGTTTTCAACAAGACATAAGCAAAGTTTAACTCCCATGTAAAGTTGAGAAGTTTAGAATTCTAAAATCTAAGAAGGTTCTCAAAAACACCTATGTTAAGTTCAGCTTTACATGTTAGCTTTTTATCCCTTTTGGGAAGTTTTAAACTTCTTTCAAAAGAATTCTAAAATTCTAGTTCTACGGGATAACATTCATGTTGTTGTAAACTGTACATTTTGTAATTGTAATTGAAAAATAGATAGATGTACCAGACGGATGTTTGCCATCCTTAGATATAACAATGACAGCTGTGTCGTTGCTCTAACCATAGACGAAACAAAGTAACAGCAGAAGATTAACAATAAATTTCATTGTTTCAATAAAACTTATTTAATTCTATATTCCGTTGTTTAACGGCAATACACCGTATATATACAGATTGCGGTTGAGAAACGAAAGCAAAGGCAGAAAAAGCCAGATTTAAAATATGCATTTGCTAAACTTAAATAAACTTTTAAAAAAAACCCAAAAAATATTTTCTACAAAGTTTGAAGTATTTTATCTTTTGTTTCATTCCACTATCGATAGGCACTAGGCATGCAACGGTAACGGTTACAAAAATGAGCCGATAAAAGACAATTATAGAAAGTTCTGTACCGGTAACCGTAGGTATTCGGTGCTTTTGTCACAAGACCACTCAGAGGAACTTACAAAAACTTATGGAAAGATTTTCTAACCGGGTTTTCTTTTAGCGGTAAACCGTTAAAATAACCAAACGTGCCCGAAAATACCCGGCTAGAAACTGAAAACAGGAATTTCACCAGTCATTAAAATATGAAAAAAAGATAAAACAAGGAAGTATCTTGTACATGAAATGAGTGACATTTGCAAAGATAAAAAATCATTATATGTTGAGAAAAATCTTCTGATTTGGATATTCAAATGGATTTTACAACAAAAGGAACAAACAAGCATTAATATTTCCTTTACTCTGGAGAAAGAATAGAATAATGAGGTATGAAAAAGATTTTTCTGTTCTTTCTTTTTCTCCAATCTGCTTGAAGCAACATTTTTTGTTTAAATGTAATACAAAACTCTCTTGTCAAAATATCTGCAAGTCAAGTTTTATTTCATCATTAAACTGCACCAGCAAATCGAAAGTAAGAATGATAACAACTTTTTAATACATTAAATTTTCCGAACACAAGGCTTCTAATTCAGTTTAGTTTGTATCGTACAAACAACGTGCCACGATTTGTTGTATTCCCAAAGTAATTTGACATTTGGTGCGTTACGTCACAATATAGTTTGATCTTTTTAGTTTATATTCAACTGAAAGTATGACTGTTATAGTAAAATTTCTTCATGATGCTGGTTTCATTCAATTGCTTTTGAGTTCTGTTTTATCGGGTTGTTCTACGTCCTTGGACATTTATCGTCATTCTGCTCTCGAGTATTTTTCAGTTTATAGTAACATTAGTCATTTTATGTGTACATCTGAGTCATTAAAAGAAACGGAAGAAAATGACGCGTAATATGTATGATTCATTCTGGAATAGAAAAGAAACGAAAAGAAAAATGTATTGTCTATGTGAATTATTTGCTTCAGATTGGAGCCTGCCGATCTGTAGAGCTATCAGAATCCAAAAAACAATATGAATGTGCCCAGAGATATATTTTCAAATAAATCCTATCTCAAACAAATAAATAAAAATTTCGACTATTTCATTCAACTAGTTCAAACGAGCTATACACCATTATCACTGCCTCGCACAGAACCATTAATAACAAAAGAAATCTCATTCGAATTTATACAGGAATTTAATGGATCAAATGAACATCGACAGTTGCAATTGTTATCCAGTGTTCATGACACACATCAATTGTGGATATTTTTATCATTGAATCCAACGTCTTACGACTGTCAGACTTTTATCGATGAACTTTACCAGTTAACATCAAACTCACTATCAATCAAACAACATCTAGGTAAGTTACTACTAGCCCTAGCATCCTCCTTTACTGATACATCATTCGTAAGAAAAACAAAACAGAACGAGAGTCTTGTAAGCTTATTTCGCTCCATGATTTTCGTTAACGAAAGTTAAGTTTTATTGAAGATTCACGAAACGTTTACGTTTAATGCCTTTTTGTTTGTGCATCTTTGAGGTTGTTTTGATCATGCTTGAAAACTGATATTCATTTATCAGTAGACCTGACCAAGAAATAGAAGAAAGCTTAGTAATTCATAGACTGGTAGAATGCTGTTGGTAGTCACAATAAACCAGACGAAAATAATAATAAAAATGCGTTAGTGAACAGTGCATGAGTCACTATGTGGAATATTTTGGATATTTATCTGCAGCGTTATTTTTGAATACAATACTGAAAAACAAAAGAGGCAATTTTTTCAAGAGTGCTTCAACGTACTCGCTCATAGTATCTTCCTGTATGGTTCATAACAAATTATTTTTGGTTATTTCGACAGATTTTTTCATGGCGCTGATCACAACAATGTTTTCTACCATGTATCTGTTAAATACTTCATCCGTATAATAGTAGTTAGTAAGTGCAAATTTAACAGAAAATTACGTTTTTCACAGTATTCACAGCAAGTTAACATACACCAAAGATACACTCGCTTCTTCATTGGAAAGAAAGGTGTCTAGGTGGACGTTTGCCAAGAAATCAAAAGTGAGCTTTTTCCAAATAAATCGGAAGAAAATATACTTGGATATATAGGCTATTCCTTTTGCCAGAAATAGAAAAAGGTTTTTGTTCTAACTACGAAGGATCGTGGAAAACACTAAGGCAAAACACGGCATGAAAACAGAACAAATGACATAAAACTATTTTTCATTAAACCTGACAAAAGTTATAAATAAAAGCAATACAGATTCTGAATCTAGCTATCCAATAGCGAGCGAATTTCTTTCACGAACTCCCACTTCAGACCCGTAGCCAGGGGTAGTGCTCGTTGTGCTCCGGCACATCTCATGCGTAAACAATAATCACGCTATGTGTAGGAAAACATTCACGATAAACGTCCGATAAGTAAAGTAAACATCGTAGACGTGTCTTTATCGTTCTTTATCCACGTGTTTATTCTCTTTGCTTCCTTTTTGCGTACATTGACCATTGGATCAAGGTAATAAAGGCAAAAAAATGCCTTTATTATCTAATTCTCAAGCCGATAAACAGGATTATCGTAACCAGGATCAAAATTACGGGAGTGAAAGAGCATATGTGATGAATAGAAATATCCCACAGTTTGCTTACTATGAAAATCAGAATTATATTGATGGTAACCAAGATTATGAAGTTTTGAACAATAATTCCTCCTATACGGTGTTACAACCAGCTGCATTTCAGAATATTAATCAAGCAAATCAAATGTCACAAAGGTCTTATACACCCTTCGAGCAATCTAGATCTCTTCAACCTCAAAGGGCGATGTTGTATCGTCATCACCTACCGATGAGTCATCAAATAAATCAGTTAGACATGAATCACACATCTCAAACGGATATGTCAACAACAACATCATCGATAACAATAGATCCGAATGTAAACAACATGGCTAATAAAGTAAATAACAAACGTAGTCCGAGGCAAATTAATTCAGATGCTGACGAGGGGAATTCTGTAGTATCAACTAAACGGACTAAACCATATAGTAATAATAGTAAAATATTCCAGTTATTCTTGAAGATCAGAGTGGACCAACTTATCAATAAGTCCGGTCACAATCACTGCAATCAGCGGAATTAAGAGCTAATGAGAGAGGAAATCTTGACCGCAATAGTGATCATCGTACAAATAATACAGTAATTAAGATGAAAATCAAAGATTTGAGGTACGCTATAACGCATGATCTTCCACCATTCATTGTGAAATATGATAATGAAGGGAATATTGATCGTCGGGATTTACCTAGTGCGATGAATGCTAAATTATTCATTGAAAATCATCTACGTAGACAGGGTGTTAGTTTTAACGGTTTTGCACTAACTCGTCCAGTTGGTAAAAGATTAAAACTATATGTAAGCAATCGCGATGATTATCATAAGTTAATGACAACTGATGAATGGCCAGATATATGTGGTAGTACACATTTAAAAATTTCAGTTATCAAACCCAGTGTTATCCCTAGTCAATTCTCATTAGTCATCAGAAATGTTCCAGCTTCAATCTCAATAAATAAAATTCAAGAAGATGTGAATTGCTCGATTAGTTCGGCCACAAATTTTAGAAAATTAATTAGCAAATATGGAAAAAAGTCAATAGATTATAGATTTGAAGTGCCGGATTTAAATGAATATAAAGCGGCGGTATCACAAGGTGTAATAGGTATTGGAAATGTAGTTCGATCGATTACGGAATACATCCCAGCCAATAGAATATTATATTGCACAAAATGCTGGAAGATTGGATATAGGGCAAATGATTGTAATGAGTCAGTATTCAAATGTAAAATTTGTTTAGAAGATCTTCTTGACGGACGGCATGAATGTTCAACAAATAAGAAATGTG